CTCCATTCACCAGCAGCAGCACAACTATGCTGCCCGCTCTCCTGACAGCTATCCTGAAGAGGAGCGGCCTCGCAAGAAGATCAGGCAAGAGACCTTGCAGCCACGATTGGGTTCCACACCCCAAACCCCAGAAAGAAAAACCCCCTTACCTTCCCCCTCAGTCCCCACCCCATCTCAGACTGTCTCCGCTTCTCCAACACACACATCCTACCACCTCAAATCCCAACCATCCAGCCCTCAGAGTTCGGACTGTGAGGACACGGACAAGCGTAAGACACACAACTTCTTGGAGCGGAAAAGACGCAATGACCTACGCTCCCGATTTCTGGCCCTACGGGATGAGATCCCAGGCCTGGTTGACTGTCCAAAGACACCCAAAGTTGTGATCTTGACCAAGGCCACAGAATACCTGCGTACGCTGCATGTCAGCGACAAACAGAAGGCCCAGGAGAAGAAGCAGCTGAAAAAGAGGCAACAGCAGTTACTGCGGAGACTCACTGAACTGAAACGTGCATAAACCTTCATAGTCCAGCCATATTTTCAATAGGAACTGTGTAGAACTGCGTGGGTTTTTTTCTTTCCAAAAGTGGGATATTTAATGGAACGGACTCTATATCTTGAGATTAGTTCTTCAGTTTTTGTTCTTTGCACACTTGCCTTCGCAATGGGGGAGACGTACTTGTGGAAGCTGTGGAACTGTTCAAACATTTTCCAAAGTGGGTCATTATTTCTGGTTTTCATTTGAAATTTTAAGATTTAAACCATGAATGTGTGTTATCTTAAATTCTTTCGTGAAAGCTATAGTATTTGGGCGGGGAAGTATTTTTTGTATCATTGAATTAGCATGCCAAATTAGGCATTATTTGAAATCTAGCAATTTATATGCATGTGTAATTGATCTTCTAAATCATCAAGCCCTTTTTTTGTGGCAGAATCTTGAATTTATCTGGGTAAATATGTTTAAGGGTCTTTGATCAATGTGACTTCTCCGTTAATAGTGCTTTATCTAAATTAACCTAAATTTAAGGAGAGCTGTGTGCCCCCATTGCCACATGCCACATAAGTTTAACAGACAGGAAGTTGCATCACTGTTCCTTTGTTACATTTTTACATACATTTTTTTTTCTTTTCAGTTTTTGTATATTATTGTTATCTTGAACGTTCAGGACCGTGTCTAGCACAGCCTTGCAGTGTATATAAACTGTGGCATATTCTTCGGACATATGTATATAATTGTAGGGGTGTACAGGACATTGTGTAAAAATACATGCTTTGTGTTTTGAATATGTAATCAGCACTGTTAATAGACTTTATTTTCTATTTTTCTGTCATTTGTCCTAAAACTTGGTTGGCCCACCTGGAGTATCCCTAGAGTATCTCAAATTTTCTATTTTTGTTAAGAAAAGTACAAAAAAATCAAAATCAAAAAGTTAAATAAAACAACACTATCAACATTTCATTTTCATCACTAGCCACTTTATGCTGTTTTCACTGCCTATTCCCTTGTGTTCGGAAATTTCTTTGGCTTATTGCTTTTGTGGCAGAAAAAATTTTTTTGAAAGAATTTTGTACTAATTATATTTTCTTACAGAATTAATTGTATCATTGTTTGATTTCTATTTAAACATAAAGTTGTACTGGTGGCGTATGCTTACTTATCTCCAAATATGACAATGGTAATTTAAAGTTTATGCACATGGTCATTTGTAATGCAATTATTTGTAAAAAAAAAAAATATAAATAAATATATATATATATATATAAATAAATATAAAGGCCATGTGCTCACAGCAATCACCACTGATTGATTGAGGTGACTTTTGTTTGTACATTTAGCTTTGAAATTGGCCAAAAGGGTAAAATATGCATATGCCATCAGTAACCCGTTGTTGTTTTTTTACTTTTGTCCCTTGTCGTCAGGTGTCATAACGGGAGGAGAATGGCAGCAGCATTGTCGAAGCACTTTGTGTTCTGTACCTCATAAGCCTATATACATAAACTCAAAATTGGGTAAACGATAAAATAAATTCATTTCAAATCATGTCAGCATGCTTGTCTTTCTTTGTTAATTGGCATTTATTTCCACGTACACCTGAAGCCATAAAAATTCAATGTTTTAACAGAACAAAAGATAATTATTTTAAGTAAATAAATAAATATTCTGTCATCATTTACTCACCCTCATGTTGTTCCAAACAAGTATGACTGACATCTGTGGAACATAACAGGAGATGCTTCAGTCGCCATTCAACTTCTTTGTATAAAAAAAGATGCAATGGAAGTGAATAGTGACTGAAGCCATGGTCACACTAGTCTTTGAGCGTGCGAATTTTCTTCATACACTGTCATGATTTGACCTCGAGCTCTGCAGCGTCTTTTTAAAAACTGAAATTCAACACACAACAAATAATAATACATCTAAAATGTAAAAGAAACAAAACATACAATCTACTCCACTTTCCTTCAGCGCTGCAGTTTTACACTCTAAAAAATGCTGGGTTAAATATAACCCAGTGC